TTGACTCCAATAGTGTTTTTTTCTCCAAACTATGGAAGTCATGGGGGCACAGAAACGGTTTGGTTACCAGTGTTGTTCCAAATATATACGTTTGCATTCAACAGCAGAAGGAAACTCATACAGGTTTAGAACAACAACAACATAGCTTTAATTTTTGGGTGAACTATTCCTCCAAAGCAGCCTAATTTAGCTGCTGTTGCCATTTGTGTCAATAATGAAAATTAAACATTAGAAAGAAAATCACTCACTGTCCTTGACCGAATCACTTTCGTAATATAATGTATATTGAATTTTTACAGTGAGGACTATTCAGTCTATTGGTTGTCTATTTATTTTATACAATATAATATTTCTTATTCAGTGCTTGTAGGTCAATTTCTTTGTTCTATTGTAATTCATGACTGTTTACTTGTCTTCAGTAAGTTTGTTTTTACGTTGGCTAGTATTTTTTGTTTTATTTTGTGATATTGGAATTGGTAACAAGAATTATGAAATTGCAATGCATCAAAAATTTTGATTGGATAAAAATCCTATTTTAAGCTATATATGTCATTATTGTGATGAGGGGGCCCTGCAGTAACTCATAGACCCAGTCGGGTCTTAATGCGGCCCTGTGCATGGTACGGTTCGGTACGGTTCACTTTTGGGGGGTTTTCCACTGGGTACAGTACCTGGTACTTTTTTCAGTACCACCTCGGTTGAGGTTCCAAGCGAACCATACCGTTACCAAAACATGATGTGTAAACTCTGCTGATCACTGATTGGTCGAAGAGAATCGTCACTACCTGCGTCATTGATCTTTTTTAACAACCAAAAAATGGCTGTTTCGTGGTCTGTTGAGGAAGTACAGACGTTCCTCTCGTTGATAGCAGAGGAGCGGATCCAGCGAGAGCTTGATGGGGCGACATGGAATGAAAACGTTTTCCAGTTGTCACGGCAGTAGAGGCGGCGCAACTATTACGACATGTAAATAATCCTGCCCACTCTAAAGCGGTACTAAACTGCAGTGGAAACACAAACCGAGCTTATCCATGCCCTGCCGTGCCGCACTGAGCCGTGCCAAGCCGAATCGTACCACACCGTGGAAAAGTGCCATATATGCACACTTTTGAACCATATGCCCATACGTTCACACTGCAGGCAAATGTGGCCCAAATCAATTTTTTTTGCTCACATGTGACTCAGATCTGTTTTCCTCATTACAGTGTGAACAGCACAAACCACATGCAATCTGATCTTTTCAATTCCAATTCGTATCTCTTCCATGTGTGGTACTAAATCTGATACAGGTCAGATGTTTGCAATGCGACCGCAGTTTGAACAGTCATATCGGAATTCATGCAACCTTTACATTGCTCTAGATCAGGGGTGGTGAACGTCGGTCCTGGAGAGCTGCAGCCCTGCTAAGTTTTGCTTCAACCCTAATCAAACACACCTGAACAAGCTAATCATGGTCTGAACGGTTACTAGGGAGCTACAGGCAGGTGAGTTTTAATTAGGGTTGGAGCTGAACTCTGCAGGGCTGCGGCTCTCCAGGACCGGAGTTCGCCACCCCTGCTCTAGATCAACATTTGTCATGATTCTGTGCTCATGGGAGTCACTTCAAAGATTTTACATACCCAAAGTTATCAAGACAATTGCAAAAGGTAGTCAGTGGAAGGACAGTGATGTGTCAGAACTCAGTGACAACTCTATATACAAGCAAAATATGAGGGTTTGTATCATAAAAGTCATAAAAGCTCTCTTCTGCCACATCCTCATCTTTATTTTTCATATTGCCTGTGCACAATTTCGCTGGCTTCTGTGGCAGATCACACGATAAATAAACGCATAATTGCTTACTTTATGTCCTCCGTGTTTATTTCCGTATGACAGCGCGCTGCACAAGTGTTGCCAAATCCACAGCTTCCCCGCGGAATTGGGCTATTTTTTCCCCTGTTGCCGTGGGTTGACGCGACACCACTAACGAGATATTTTCCCACCAGAACATGATTGAGCTAGTTTTGGACTAATTATGAGAAGCAGTGGGTGGATTTTGTTGTGAAAACCTGGAAACCCTGTTCGTATCGTTCTTTTGCGCATGCTGGTCAGTTCAGAAACATGATCTGTTCACCATGTGAATCTGATATTGGCCTCATTTAAAACAACAATGTGAAAAGCTGGAAATTCAGATCTGAGCAAAATCGGAATTGAGCACTACCATCCCAATTGTCCTCTTTGTAACATTCTTATGTGACCATAAAATAACCCAAATGGAATGTCTCTCTAAAGTCATATAAGGAACATGGAACTGCAGCATCAACAGAGGACATTTTAGGAATGTCCCTAATAATCTGTAAAGTTTCGGGATATTTGCCATCTTTAGAGAACTTTTAGGGAACGTTGTGTTTTAGGGAATGTCCCCTCCTACGTGGGGATTGACTCTTTGCAAACAGAGCTGCTGAAGTCAGACATCTACAGATCAGTCAGCATATTAACAGAACTTTTTCAAACAATTTGGGAAGAAGACACTAATCCAAAGGCCTCATATTCAAACTGCCCAAGAAAGGAAATCTCAGCAGCTTTGACAACTGGCAGGGTATTACACTTCTTTCTATTCCAAGCAAGATCCAGAGTCTCTAACTAAGGAGAAAAATCTAAGCACAATGTGTGATGATGATGATGATAAGATCTCCTCTAAAACTTTAAAGGAGACTATTATGAGAGTGTTAGAATTGTGTGAGAAGCAGGAGACTCAAGCAAATGTCTCCATTTGATGTTAAAGTAACTTCATTTCTGTCTTGGAGAAATATTTGAGAAGTATACCAATATTGGGTTCTTCAATTTGGCCTAGCACTATCCCCATGCACATTCACGCATGGATGCAGCACTGGCTGCTTTGAGACTTCGAGGCATCCATGTACTCCATTATATTGACGACTGGCTGATTTTAGCTTAGTCTCAAGAGATGGCAGTTCAACTTCCAGATATTGTCCTCACCCACATAAAGCTATTGGGGTTGAGACTAAATGCGAAGGACAACCTTCCTGGGGACTCGATGATCTGGGACTCGATTACGATGCAGGCACAATTGCCTTATGCTTGTAACAAGTCGATCCTGCCAGCAGTGTTCAAGATGAAGCAAGGCCAGGCCATCACTGCCAAACAGTTTCAGAGACTGTTGGGTCTAATGGCACCCATGTCCAGCATGATACCATTTGGCTTTTTGTACATGAGAACAAAAAAGTTTTTTTTCCCTAAGGGGCAACACATTCTGCATAATGAAAGCCCAGGGAATGGAGACTCCATCCCGAGATAGAGTTAATTTGGAGGAAGTTCGACAGGGCGGAAGTAGATCCCAAGAGCCACCCACTGTCCGCTCTGGTTCTCCTCACACATCCAGCTCCTTTTGGACTGGATGCTATGGTGCATACAAAGCTGTACACTGTACACCTTCTGAACTCTGATCTCTCAGCTGAGGTCATAAAGACCATCTTAAACTCTAGAGCTCCCATCACAAAGGAATTGTATGCTGTGAAGTGGAGAATTTTCACATCATGGTGCAGAGAACACAGGTTGGACACAGTTAACTGCCTAGTGGCTTCGGTGATGGTTTTTCTTCAGAATTATATCTTTGCAGATCTATCCCTGTCCATGCTTCAGATCTAAACAGTGGCCATAGCTTCCATGCACAGTTAGGTGAGGGTTCTTTGGGAAGACACAGATTCCTTTGTGATAAACTGAGTAGCATCACTTGTTGCTGATTGGAGATTATGTTGTTTGTTATAAATTAATCTGCTCTCCCCTGTTCAGGTTTGAAAGTTTTTAGCTAAATAAATTATTTATATAATTGCAGCAGATCAAGTAATATGTGTGTTTCTTTATTGAAAAACAAGCCTAACATGTTCAAAGGTAAGTTGTTAAGTGCACACTGTAATGATGGTCCAATGAACGGCAAGTTGTAGATGAGTCCAAGTGCAGATTTATTATACAGAGTGAAATCCAAACAAAACAAAGACTTGGCTTGACTTGACTACAGACATGAAACAACTCGCCAAACAGAGGTTAATACGTTCAATACACGACGAGAGACAATGGCAACATTAGCGCTACTTGTAGCAAACAACAAGGGTCACATGACATAAACCAACCAATGGGAACAAGGCACATGACTAAAGCTACCAATCACAACATGACACACAAGGTGCGTTCGACTTGACGCACGGCTACAGACTGCAGTCAACGAGAGTAGCCGCTTGCAGTCGGGGGCGGAGTTGAAAACTGAGCTGTCAAGCCGGACACTTTCTGCTCCCATGCACAATTGGTGGCTGACTAAATACTTTTTTTCCCCACTGTATACTTAATACATCGCCATCTGCTCAAGAATAAAGTTCAACGTAAATATATACTATTTAAATACTAATAAAGTGGGGGAATGTATGCTTTCATCAGTGTTTTATGATAAACGGGACTCAATATAACATTGCGCTTACAGTAAAAATGCTTTTACTGTTCTAAAAACACAGATTTGTGGCTATTATTGGAATTGAAAAGGTTAGAATAAACCCGAAACACACGTGATAGTTGTCATGCGGTGAATCTGGCCAATCATGAAATGGCTGTGTCGTCATCAACGCTCCTGCAGCCGCTCTGGAGAAACTGTGCCGGCTGAGTCAGCCGGCTGCTCTCAAAACGCTCTCGCAGTGCTTTGATGCCACACGTGACAGTGACGTGGCGTCAGCGCCGTCTCAAGTCGGACAAAATTACTAACCGGCATGCACTGCTTCAAGTCAGATTGTGATCGATCTGCGCACTGCTTCAAGTCAGATTGTGATCGATCTGCGCAGTGCTGCATGAAGTCGAACGCGCCTACAGACAAGAGTAGCACATGACATGATCACATGAGGGGCAAGGAACACATGACAGGAACATGAAACAAGGCAAAATATCAAAATAAAATTCAGAAAACCTAAACAAGAAACAAAACCCAAACCCCACATTACATACATGCTGGCACTTACAGGAGGAATGGCTGCTGGGAAAACTTTTCCGGCCCTCAGACACCAGGTCTGACTCTCCAGTACACAGCATCTTTGCATTCATCTGTCCATCAGGGAAACAACGGTGGAAGTAGTCTGGCCTTGGCCTGTGATCAAGATCAACACCAGTGGCAAAAGCATGATTACAAATAACAGGACAAATATACTAATAGGTCTTTATATACAGTATGGATACTTATACTTTATACTTATGTATATACATTGCCCTCCACTAATACCAATATTCGTGGAGGGGACTTTTCTTTCAGGGTACTCCACTGCCTGCAGGTTTTAAGGATGAATGGATGTATGTTTTCAAGGTATGGATGGATGGATGTTCTACTACATACTGTACCTCTATTCACTATGTTTTGTATTTAGAGGGGAGTGATGAATGTGAATATAATAAGTAATGTAAAGTGTCTAAACACTGAATGTTAATTTTAAACTAGATTCTTTCTGGTCAAAACGGGCATTTCATGGGATTGCACTGTGGAACAGAGGATTTTCACTCTATGTTTTCCATAATTCCGGTGAGCAATATAACATGAGATCAATATAACATGTTTCCCAGCATTCCGCACACTGTGTCTGTGTAAATGTCCTAACCCTCCATTGTGTATTGAACCTAGAACAATCCTGGCATGAAATTCTGATGGAAATAGTACAGAAACCATGTTTGTACATTACCTGCCAACTATCAACTTGATGGTATTTGTGAAGACACCATTCAAAGCTAGTGCGAGTGATACCGCTGCAAAACAGAAAAAAACAAGAGACAGGCAGATTAATAATGACTTTGTTACCTAGACAAAATTCCCAGTTAAGTGACTTTTCAAATCTGATATCAGCCGTAAACCATCCTCTATATTATGTCCTAAACAGCAATGGTTGCCTTCACAACTGATGCCTGTTAAATATTTATCTTATTGTTGCAGAATTGCAGTGCACAATTTCTTTGTCATAAGCTTCATCTGAAATTTCTTGTTAACTGTTAAACCTTTTCAGGTACACTTTAATGGCACTGGACTTCTCTGAATTTTAATTATGCATACAAATTAAAAATAACGGAGAGCAAGTAGACAAGGGTAAATATATAGTTCAGTCATGAAACTCTAGATGGCGCAGGCGACGGGTTGTTAACGTAACCGATGATATTCAGAGAGTTAAACGACTTGGCACAAGCTGATTGGTTCATGCTGCATATGCAGCCAATGAGCTTACTGCCTTGCATTTATATAGTTGGCTAGCATTCACTTGAGATTCCTGCAACACGCTTTCAGAGTTCTCTGAAACACTCCACCTTCCCCAGCTCCACCTGTATAGATCTGCTATGGGGTTATTTTATATGCTATTTGTGAAGCAGCAGTATGTCTTAAATATCACGGCACCGTATCGCCATATGCATTGGCAGTAGCAAGTTCCTGTACTTGCTTGCAGCAGCAGTAATATCTACAACTACAGCAATAACCAACAGCAGCAGCAATTCAGCAGCAATGTAGCAGATCTGTTCCGCCAAGACCAAATACATTAACATTGTCATATCCATCACCATGCGAAAATGTTCAGAGAGTTGTCATGATTGAACTAATCCTGTGCATTAATAACCCCACTCTCTGAATTAAAACCGTTAAGCATAATCTACTGTATCTACTGTCCTTATCCAAATTTCTCAGTGTGTAAAGGAGATGATTTGGGAGTGACAGCAAATTAATGTTCCCTATCTGTCAGTCAATTCGACATTGTGTCAAATTACTGACACTAGGGGGTCACTTTTGGGAGCCCCAAACACCTCTAACATATTTTGGCGGCTATATGCCTTGAAATGATGCCTATTAACTTCTTGTTGTTCTACCCAAGGTGAAGATCAACGAAGATGTGGCTTCAGGTAGGTGCGTGTCTGCCTCCAGTCTTAAAGTGTACTGTAATAGCAACGAATCATGACACTGTGGGTGGAAAGTATCTGGGGAAGCAGGACCTGATCGTTAGATTTCTGAGAGGTACAAGGAGGTTGAATCCTTCAAGACTGCACCTGATCCACTCTTGGGATCTCTATCTCGTCCTACAGACCTTGCAGGGCAATCCATTTGAGATTGTGAAGATGATGTAGCGCATGCATGAGTGCCCTCCCCCTCCCTGAGGTGGTGCTCTATAGAGTTCCCCAGGTTTGGTGAACCCAGGATATTTCTTTATACCTCCTAGCACTTACCATAGCACCCTTGTAATCTGGTTTAGTGCTCCATATGTAGTGATTCTCTAACTATGATCACGTATGAAATATTTTTTTTCCACTGTTCAGTTTCCCTCAGTGAACCCTGTGTCTTCCCTTGAATGGAGCCTGCTTCATCGCTAGTTGCTGTGGCATAGCTACATTTGTTTTTTGGAATGCGAAAGCTTGCCAGCATCTGCACAACCAACTCTCATAAACAGTTCAGTAGGTGTGTCAATAATTCAACACAACTTTGAAGGGACTGACAGATAGGGAAATCTTCACTGCCGTATTGTTCTGAATATAAGACAGTATTTTTTCTTTTGGAAATAATGGGGTCTGAAAAATGGGGTTGTCTGATATTCAGGGTCTAAACTTTTACATGTCAATAAGATACCCGCAACAATAGGTGGTGCCAAATACATATAAAATGAGTGTGCCCCAGGACTGAAGTTACCCACTACTGTTTATTTCACTACTGTGTTATGCCATCTAGACCAGTGTTTCTCAACTGGTGGATTGTGACACAAAAGTGGGTAACAGAGTATTCACAACAAGAATGCTGGTACATAATCCCGAAGGTGGTTAGTCTGTGATGAAATCCACTCTATTATGGGACAACAGTCTGCTAGGCAGTGGTAGTGGAACTAATTTTCCTTCTGGAAGGTTGCGTGGATTCTTGGAGATAGCACAGTTACAGCTACTAGTATCGTCTACGGAGGAGCAAGAGGGTTTGCTGGCTGCCTGGGTGTCCAGAGCCCGGAGATATGTATGCTGAGTCCACAAGGGATAGAAGAAGGTTAAAAACAGACAGACACATACAGTTAGGTCCATATATATTTGGTCACTGACACAATTTTCATAATTTCAGCTCTGTATGCCACCAGAATAGAATTAAAATGAAACGATCAAGATGAAATTGAAGTGCAGACTTTAAGCTTTAATTCAAGGGGTTGAATAAAAATATAACATAAAATGCTTAGGAATTACAACCATTTTTATACACAGTCCCCCCATTTTCAGGGGCTCAAATGTAACTGGACAAATACATATAATCATAAATAAAATGTTCATTTTTGATATTTTGCTTAAAATTCTTTGCAGGCAATGACTGCCTTCAGTCTGAAACTCATGGACATCACCAAAGAGTGGGTTTCCTCCTTTGTGATGATTTGCCACGACTTTGGTGCAGCTAACTTGTTTGTTAGGTCTTTCTGCCTTTTAGTTTTGTCTTTAGCAAGTGAAATGCATGCTCAGTCAGGTTGAAATCAGGAGATTGACTTGGCCATTGCAGAATATTCCAAATTCTTACCTTCAAACCTTCAAAAACTCCTGGGTTGTTTTTGCTGTATGTTTTGGGTCATTGTCCACTTGTACTATGAAGCACCATCCAATCAACTTTGCTGCATTTGGCTGAATCTGGGCAGAGAGTAAATCCTTGTACATTTCAGAATTCATCCGGCTGATAGATGTCTTCTATCACGTCATCAATAAACACCAGTAAATAACCCAGTGCCACCGGAAGCCATGCATGCTTATGCCATCACACTGCTCCACCATGTGTCACAGAAGATGTTGTATACTTTGGATCATGAGCTGTTCTGAGACTTCTCCATACTTCCCCCCCCCCCCCGTCATTCTGGTAGAGGTTGATCCTAATTTTAGCAGTGCAAAAAATGCTTTTCCAGAAATGGTCTGGCTTTTTTAGATGTTCTTGGCAAGGTCTAATCTCGCCTTGTTTGCACCTTGTGGCGAATCCTCTGTGTTTGCTCTCACCTGAAGTCTTCTCTTGAATGTAGACTTTGACAGTGAAATGCCTACCTCCTGGAGAGTGTTCTTCACTTGGCTGGATGTTGTGAAAGGGCTTTTCTTTACCATGAGGAGGATTCTCCGATCATCCACCAATGTTGTCCTCTGTGGACATCTAGGCCTGTTTATGTTCCTGAGTTCATCAGTGCATTCTTTTTTTCTCAGAATGTACCAAACTGTTGATTTGGCCACTCCTAATGTTCCTGCTATCTCTCTGATAGATTTGTTTTGATTTTGAAGCCTAACAATTGTCTGTTTCACTTGCATGGAGAGCTCCTTTGACCACGTGGTTTCAAAACAACAGCTTCTAAATGCAAATGGCGTACTTAGAATCATCTCCAGAACTTTTACCTGCTTAATTGATGTAGAAATAACGAAGGAATAGCTCACGCCTGTCCATGAAACTTTTCCTCCAATTTTGATGTGAATACCCTAAAATTAAAGATCAGAGTGTGCACTTTAAGCCCATATTCATTATATAAAATAAAAATTGTGCCTGTGTCCAAAAATGTATGGACCTAACTGTAAATCCTCCCTCAGGACCTCCTGGTGGAGCTGGTTCAGAGCAGGTAGCTTCTGCTGTTGGGTCGTCAATGGACAACTGGATGGCACAAATGATGATGGCTGGAGGGATAATGGGTTGAGTGTTGACTGAGGTCCTGGATGGTGCATGTAAGAGAGAGAATTGGCCTTGAAGTTATTCTGTCCTGGTCTGTAGGTGACTGTCACGACCTCACCAGTCTAAGGGAGACTAATAGGCCATATGCCTAACAATAAATATTCAATAATGTGACTCCACCAAAGAGTTATTTAGTCAGCTGAAAAAAATGTTGGGCGCTCTTCTTAAAATGATCAGCAGGTAGTGCTTGAGAACGCTTTGGTTGCTATGATTTGGAATATCTACTACAACAACATATTACTAGTATCTCATTTTTAAGAATTTTACTAAATAAAAAGTAACCAGTAATATTGACTTCTCCATTGTTGGTCGGCTTTTGTCCCACCCCTCCTCCATTGATTGGATGGCTGGGTAAATAGTGACAGTGACGATCGCTGCGTTTTAGTTATCAACTCAAAAAAAAAAAAAAAAAAAAAGAGGGCAAGGGCAAATGAACTTATAATTGTTATGGCAGTGCATCAGAATTCAGTGTCATCAGTTTGCCAAAATGAACACAATGTTTTACACACCATTTACACGTGGTAGGGAGCAGGTGTACATTTCTTTCATACCAACTAACATTTTGAGGTAGGTAGAGTAGCCAAAAACTGTACTCAAGTAAAAGTACAAGTGCTTATAAATTATTACTCAAGTAAGAGTAAAATTAACAATCCTAATAGTTACTTGAGTAAGAGTAAAAAAGTATCCAATGAAAAATCTAGCGAGTTACTAGTTAATTTGTTTGTGTGTGTGTGTGTGTGTGTGTGTGCACATACAGTGGTGGCCAAAATGATTAGAACACTAGTATTTCCACCAGCTAAAAAATGGTTTTAAGTCAGGTGTTTGTATCTTTTGATGTAGTGTGTCAGTAGGAAATATCAGTTTACCAAACATTCATTTTGCCATTAATTGTAGTAATCCAGTGAGATTTTTGTCTGACAACAGCCAGTGCTCCACACAGAGATCTGATCTCATCATCATCCAGTCTGTCTGAAATGATATGAAGAAACAGAACAAACCGAGAGAGACTAAATCCAGAAGAACTGTGGCAACGTCTCCAAGATGCTTCAAGAAACCTACCTGCAAATTTACAGTACTGTTAAAAGTTTTAGGCACTTGTGTAAAAATGCTGTAAAATGAGGATGCTGTCAAAAATAATGTCATAAATAAATTTTTTTATTTAAAAAGAAAAAATTTATTTTTTATAAGAAATGATCAATTAACTTCTATTAACTAAATTAAATCAACATTTGGTGTGACCATCCTTTGCGTTTAAAGCATTTTTTGCCCTAGGTGCGCTTGCGTGGAGTTTTTCAGGAAGCTTTGCAGGTAGGTCTCTTGAAGCGTTTTGGAGATGTTGCCACAGTTCTTCTGAATTTTAGTCTGTCTCAGTTTGTTCTGTTTCTTCATGTCATTGCAGACAGACTGGATGATGATGAGATCAGATCTCTGTGTGGAGCACTGGCTGTTGTCAGACAAACATTTCACTGGATTATTATAATTAATGGCAAAATGAATGTTTGGAAATGTAAACTGATATTTCATACTGACACACTACAACAAAAGATACAAATAACTGATTAAAACCATTTTTAGCTCCAATGTATGCATAAATCAGAAATTAACTGATTTCCACAGGGGCATTTCTTACTTGAGGGCAATTTTATAACTACCTTAACTCATATAACAAATTAAAGGTTGAAGCTGCAATGTCATGCAGTGGCAGTTTGTTGTTTATGCTGATGAGAGAACTTGCAAATGCATATTCATCAGAATTCAGTCAATGAGCGCGCACAACTCTGAACAACTCTGGAGTTCTTCGAGGTGACGAATCAAAATGTCTCTGATTGGATATTGCATTCATAAGCTCAACAGAAACGTGTGTGATTGGTTATAATGCTCAACGCTGCAGAACGCATTCAAAAAAGGATTTGATGCAATGTAATTAAGCAAAGTTACTAATAAAATGCCACGATCGACACTTTTTATTTATTTCACTCTACACATTTCACTTGACAGTCGATCTAGCTTACCGCTACTACAATATTACTTAAATGAATAAAAAAACAGCACACTTCCTTAAATGTCACAGACAGCACACGGAGTTCAACTAATAAAGATCCTCAGTGCAGGCCGACAGTAGGATTTGGCTTCAATCGACTGTAGTTAATTTAAATAAATTATGTTTTCCGTGTTCTCAAATTACCCAGAATGAATGAGAAACCGCTTCAGACGATTCAGTACGTGCAGGGAACTGAACACATCATTCAAAGTGATTTGCGAACCAATTCAGACCGTTTTGCAGGCTTGTTTCAAGGCCTTGAACAGAATCGACTCAGAAGAGTGATTTATTCGCGAATGGGGCATCATTCATGCCCCAGATAAAAGAGACAGCGCGCTTGTAATAAACTACGTGTTTCTTAACATAAATAACATACAAATTGTAAAAATAAAAAAAAAAGTAACGAGAGGAACGCCGCCCACTGTAGTGAAGTAAAAGTACAGTTTTTTCGTTAGAAATGTACTCGAGTTAAAGTACCCATCTTTAAATCTACTTTTAAAATAATTTTTTCCCCAAATGCTTACTCAAATTAATGTAACAGAGTAAATGTACTTCGTTACTACCCACCTCTGCATTTTAAAACTGCGTACATTCTCATGAATCTGAAAGCTTACATCAGAATGGTTTTACGAACGATTTCCACAAAAATTTGTTCTGCTCGTGTTTCATGAATCAGGCCCAATAGGGCCTTTCGCACCGCAGGAACCTTTTCATAGTACCAGAACTAATTGTGGAACTACCCACTTTTTGACGTTTTCACACCGCCGGAACTGGGAGTGATTTTAGTACCGGACTGCCTTTTTCGAGAACCAAATTAGCTCCTACTCCGGAGCAGGGTCTAACCAGCACAACTGGTACTAATCGTGACGTAAGTAGACATTGATTTGGCCAAACGCGTACGAAAACACCCTCACCCACCATGATTTAAAACTCCATGTAAACATACTGTAAACATTGTGTCAAGTTATTTTGCAAGTATGGAGAACAGCGATAGATGGACGGATGCTGAAGTGCAGGCACTTGTAGCAAATGTAGCACTGCCAGTTGTCGTTGGAGATTCTTAGTCCTCCTTTCCGTTCTTTTAATCGATTTACGCATATGTCGACTTTCCATGTCAATTATTGTGAAACCCGCGAGACACAACAAAAACTCAGATCACAGCGTCCTCTATCCTCCTGTTGTTAACGTTGTTTTTCTTTGTTTCTGTTGTTGAACGCTGCGCACAAATGACGTCGCTGTTGACCGGTTGTTAGTACACACTGTCGGTGCGAATGCAACCCTTTAAATGGTACTGGGAAATAGTTTGCGCAACATCGTCCCAGTACTATAGTACTGTACATTTAGTTCTGGAACTAAAGCGGTGCGAAAGGCCCTATTGAGAGGTTTTGCTTTGATACCTGCGTATTCAGCATTGCTCTTGTGGGAGCTGAATGCATGCTGGGCGATGTGGTTGCGGAGAGATCAATAGCCCCTGCAAACATGTCCTTGCGGGGCTCATGCTGGCTTTTTGCAGGCACAGTGGACTAGGGCCAGCCCACACCAAACCTAAACAGGCCCAGTGCGAGCTTGCCCAGGTGAGGCCCACAGCTTTGGTCTCACCGCAGGCTCTCTGTGAGCAAGCCACACTGGTGGACTGTCCACATTAATCCCATGATGGCCCAATGTGGGCCAGCCCTTTAGGGCCTAGATCAACTTTTGTATGCTTTGGGCCCATGCAAGTTTTGTGTAGGCAGCCCTGTAATGCAACTAGGAGAATACAAACAACATTGACCGGCCAATCTTTAGCCACTCAATTGAACTGGAATGGCTCAAACCAAAAGAGACCTTTTCAGAACCTGTTTTTTCATATAGGCCAGGGATCCTCAAATCTGGCTCATGAGATCCCCTTTCCTGCAGAGTTTAGTTCTAACCTTAATCAAACACACCTGAGCATGTCTGCCACCGATCTGGACGAGCTCACAGAGACTGTAACATCTTATATCAGTTTCTGTGAAGACATGTGCATTCCTACCAGGACATTCTTATCATTTAATAACGATAAACCGTGGTTTACTAGGAAACTCAAACAGCTTTGTCACGCCAAAGAGGATGCTTACAGAAGTGGGGATAAAATCTTGTATAACCAGGCCAGGAACAGACTAAACAAAGGAGATCAGAGTGGCTAAAAAAACTACTCAGAAAAGCTGAGAAAAGAGCTTTCAGCAAACGATCCAGTGTCAGTATGGACTGGTCTGAGGAACATGACTATGTACAAGACACCACCCCCATAGTCTGCGGAGAATCAACAACTGGCTGACGATCTGAATGTGTTTTACTGCAGATTTGAAAAGGATAGTCTACCACCCCCCATCCGCTCTGATCTGCACTTCACACATTCACCTACCACCCCTGCAACCCCCCTCCCTCCCCCACCACCATTCAACCTGTGCTTAAGGTCTGTGTAGAGGATGTGAACCGGGTCTTCAGGAAGCAGAAATCTAGAAAAGCTTCAGGCCCAGATGGTGTTTCACCTGCCTGTTTAAAAGTCTGTGCTGACCAACTGGCCCCCATCTTCACACAGATCTTCAACAGATCATTGGAGCTGTGTGAAGTTCCCTGCTGCTTAAAACGCTCCACCATCATTCCGGTCCCCAAAAAGCCCAAAATCACTGGACTTAACGACTACAGACCTGTCACTCTCACGTCTGTGGTCATGAAGTGACTTGAGAGACTGGTCCTGGCAGCTAGTAAAGCTGGGAAAATTCTCATCAGTCTAGCTGACCATCTTGCAATACGTAAGCCAGCACGATTCATGCCTTTTGTAGCTGGTAGAGTTGATAACGCTTGATGGTCCGTTCTGAGAGTGAATCTTCTCCCCCAGAGGTACGTTCTCCAGCGTTCCACAGCGAAAACGCATACCAACGCTTCCTTTTCCACAGTACTGTACTTTTTCTCTGCATCAGTAAGTACTCGAGAAGCAAATGCAGTGACTCGTTCTGTGCCATCTGGGTGAAGCTGTGATTACATAGCTCCTAAGCCTTAATCAGATGCATCCGTTGAGACATACGTTGGCAAGTTTAGATCGAAAGGTGCCAGAGCTGGACTATGTGTGAGCAGTGTTTTCAGCTTTTGAAAATTGTCCTCTGCCTCAGGCGGCCAGTCCATGCTAATTTGTGAAGCCGTTTTTAGCAGGCGCCATAAAGGATCCACAACGGTTGCATAATTAGGAATGAATTTGCTTAGCCATGAAGTGAGGCCCAAGAATGAGCGAAGTGCAGTGGCATCTCTAGGAGCAGGTGCGCTTGTGGCAGCAGCCATGTGATCCATACTAGGGCGCAAGCCTTCAGCTGAAATAGTGTGGCCCAAGTATGACACACTCTGCAGGGCGAATGTACTTTTGTTGAGGTTCAATTTCAGGTTCGCATTCTCGAGGCGCTGTAAGACAGCCTTCAGACATTTGTCATGTTTCTCCTTGGTTTCGCCATAACATATTATATCATCAAGATAGCATTGGCAACCTGGCAGATCTCCTAAGAGTGTGTGCATCATTTTTTGAAATGCAGCGGGTGCCGAAGCGAGACCATAAGGGACCTGCATAAATTGGTACAGTCCCTCGTGACATAGAAACGCAGTCAGGTTTCTGCTTTCCACAGCTAGAGGCAACTGATGATAAGCACTCTGTAAGTCAATCTGCGAAAATACTGTAGCACCCTTCAACTCCGCAAACAGCTCTTCCATATGTGGTAGTGGGTGTGAATTCACAATAATACTTTTATTTGGCTCGCGTAAATCCACACACATACGAATTCCTCCTTGTTTCTTTTTCGTCACCACTAATGGTGAAACCCAGGGGCTCGCATCTATGGGCTCTTATTATTCCAGCTTTTAGCAGCCGTTGGATCTCATTTAACATATCCTGGCGAACGCACAGTGGAAGCCGGTGAACTTTTTGCTGCACAGGTTTAATGGTGTTGTCCACTTGCACCTTATGTATGAAACCTTTTGCACACCTTGCACATTTAAATGTTTGTCCGCACAATTGAGCACCCTAGTTGTCGCTTGAATGGCATGCATTGAAGTACTGTGCATATCAGTGACATCTTCAGATGCTACATGATAGTTCAGTGCTCGGATTAGATCCAGTCCCAAGAGAGGTGCTCCTCTCTCTACAATGTAGAAATTTGCATCAGCTGTAATGGCATTATGAGTCACTGTAGCAGTCATACAACCCAGTACAGGCAAGGGCTGTTTAGAATAAGTGACCAGTTGCGCTTTGGGCAGAAGCAAAGGAGTAGATGTGAAATGATCCTCGTACAAGGATTGTGGAAGAATTGACATGCTTGAACCTGTATCCACTAACAGTTTCACTTTGTGTGCACAGCCTTGTGATGTTGCTATTTCAACTTCACAGTAAATTGTATCATCCACTGAAGTGTTCAAATTAAGTACTGTCATTTCTGGCACAGAAATTTCTTGCACGGTTTTCGCTTTCGATTGGCATATTTTTGCAAAATGACCAAGTTTTTTGCGTTTATTACAAATAGCAGATGCAGCAGGACAGTCTCTATCATTAGCTAAGTGATTACGTGATCCACAGCGGTAGCAATGTTGGTTTGGTTTTGGCGCTTTAGCATCTTCGCGTCTCTTTGATTGTTCGGAGCGTGTTTTATGACGTTTCCACTGACTTTTATTCGCTGAAACAGCTTGCACAGCACTCTGTGGTTGGTTTTCACTTGTGTCCTTACCGGAGAGGAGTGAAGCATTTCGCACAGCGGACTCAACTTGACACGCTAAATTCACCGCTTTTTCCAGAGTGAGCTCATCCTCCAGCAATAATTTGTCTCACACTGCAGGCAGCCACGCTTGTTCCACCAGCTGATCATGCAGCATTTCTTGCTCCATAGCACCGTACTGACACTGGACAGCTAACTCCCGTAGTGCAGAAATGTACTGAGGCACAATCTCGTCATTTCTTTGTGATCTTTGGCGAAACTTATGTCGGCATGCAACAACATTCAATTTCGGAACAAAATGTTTTGTAAGCGCTTCCATTGCATGATCAAACGTTGTACCTGTGTCCTGTAATGTGTAGAAAAGTCTTTGACCTTCGGTGCCCAGGCAATGTAGAAGAGTTGCACGACGCCTTGCATCAGGCCATGTGTTTCCTGAAGCATTTATTATCACTAGGTAGTTGGAAAAAATCTTTTCCCACGTATCAAAAGGAATTGGTGGCTCTCCTACATTTTGCAGAAATGGTGGAGGGGCAGGAACACTCGCCATCCTCGTCGCCAATATGTAGTATTCTCTCAAATAAATTAATACTCAGAACAGACAGACACGGGCACGTTTTTTCATGAACTCCTTTTTTACTCTACCCTCTTTTTCCCTCTAGGCACAGCATCAGAACAAGCCTACAACGCCATCTACTGGACACAACAAACATTTACACACCTAAAAATTATATCAACCAAAAAAAGTAACTGCATATGTGTCCTCTACTTGGTTCCTTCTCATAAATGAGTAAGAGGCATTTAAAAATTATAAACATATAATACACACCGTTTCTCAATATTTAAAGCTGCAGTCCGTAAGTTTTGCCTCTTTGTCGCCATCTCTGATTTTTCAATTACTTTAATGTGTTTAATTTACATTTACATTTTTGAGTTTTGTATTCTCAGTATTCATATCTGTTGGATAACTCAAAGTTCACCAAATGTATCCTAAAAATGTAAAATAAGTTCCAACCAAACACTATATCATCGTGTGATTTCCAATGAAAAACAGTTATTAAGATGGGTGGGTATAGAAAAGAATCACCCCTCTTTAAAATAATCACATTTTGTTGCTTTGCAGCCTGAAATGAAGACGGACCGTTTTTGTTTTATCCAGCTGTCTTTACTCAGTGCAACTTATAACATCCAAGTGAAAGATGTAACAACAACAACATGTCAGCCATCTCTGTTTAAAAACCTGCAATTGCAGCTGTTTGCGGAATTATCTTCCGTGGGTTGTGTGCCGGTACGGCTCCAGTGCAGATTAATCTAATGTTTTGAGGTGAATGTGTGGCAGTCAATCACCGCACCAGTGTGGATATTTACTGTACTTCACAATCACAGATTCTAGCCTATATCTTGGAATATATGACCCAAATAAGAATTTTCACCGGATATTGTCATCTGAACAAGTAACAAGTCTGCCATGTTTGTTCTGACCAACTGAGGAAAAAAGCATGACAATAAATCGATTGATTTAAATGAGCTCATATCACATCAAACCATGCAAATTATTATTATTGTTATACTTTATTCTCAAATTGTTCATGTTAACAACATCAGCATTATGTGACTATGAATATAATGTGTATAAACAAGTAGATTTCAATTTCTGTACAGTCTAATCTCTAATTGTCATACCATTCGAATTACATATTAAGAAATTCTTTTAACCCAAAAAGAAAATTATGCTCCCTTCGAACTGGTTGTCTTTAAAATACAAATTGTGTGTAATCCCAGGCTATCTGTAATTAGAAGCACTTTTAAAACTGGAATATAATTTAATTTCATTCACATGTGTTTCATAAACACATAATTTCTGTATTACAATCAGCCATCAAAATTATGTATTTAAATACAGAATTTTGATGGCTGATTGTAATACAGAAATTGTAATCCAGCTGCTGTGAGAAAAGGCTATAACCTTTTGGCTGGTTATGCACTTGCTCAAGTATTGATTTCGGATCATTTTTAACCAAAAAAAGTTACGGACTACAGCTTTAATTACAGCTTCAGATGCGTAATATTTTCATCTCCTTAAAGCAGGATACGCAAAAAACACATTCAATTCGGTTGTCATAGTAATAAAGACCGTAAACAGCAACCATTCGTGTGTCAGCGCTTAATGTGCATCTCCTATATGAAAAGCATTTTAGGGGGCCCTTGGCTTTTGGGAGCCCAATGCGGTCGCCTACCTTTCCGCCCCTGGTCACCCTAACATATGACAGCCTCTGAACTTAGTCAATATTAATCTTATTAATAGCTTACGTTTCTTCTCCACCGCAGAAACCACCACAGGTTCATCAATGCCAACAAAATGATTAATTTGCGCATCTCGTCAGTAAAGCCAGATCTGTGATTAGTAAATCACCATTTTGTGCTTTCAGATGGAGCAGCATTTAATATACAGAGCCGTAGGTCACTGACAAGCTACGCAATATCTCGTTCATAATCGAAGGCGATTCATCTGCGATTATGAACGGGATATTGCGTAGCTTGTCAGTTACTGTTTACAATGCATGGAATGGTGCGCTGTGATTGGTTGAGCGGCTGTATCGCATTCTGCAGAGAAGGGAGACTGCGTTTGTTGCCGTTTGGAAAGATAGCAAGAAAACATGACAGAATAACATGGTGGATATCGCATTTTGTGTAAAATTAAAAATGGACTTTTCAGTACCGACCAGATACAATACTGATTTTAGCGGGAACTCAATTTATTCAATTTGGAGTTTATAGCGTTTTGGAACCAAACTCTTTATATGTTTTGTTGTATTTTTTAAGAAAGACTTTTGATAATAGGTGGCTAAATGTATAGTGGGATCAAAGCGATGTGGATTGGTAATGCCAGAATAAAGGTGTCACAACTTAGCCTAATGCGAGGAGCGAGGAGAACAGGAGTACACGAACAACAATAGTCTTTTAATTCAGAATATCCAGGAAGTAACACTTGGCAGCTTGGAACACAGGAAACACAGGGGTTGACGTTCAATCTCAGACCAAGAGAGACAGCAGAGACTGGGGCTAATAAACACTGGGCAATTAGGGGAACACAGGTGCATGGAATGACTAATTAACTGAGACACGGCACACCTGGGGAGGGAAACACAATGAGTCCAGGGACGTGACAAAAGGCTAATAATGGCTGAACAAAAATTAATAATAAGAAAAGAATAATGAAGCTTATGTCTCATACCTGGTGGAGGTGTGAATGGTTCAATGAGTGAGAACAATAGAAACATGAATGGGGCAGTTTGCCGGGTCAGACATGAGACAATAGCATGCAGGAAAGCTAACAGGGCAATAAATGATTTTATTAGCCTTTTATTAGCCTTCTCTAAAAACACATGACATTGTCTTAAAATGTTTTATAAAATTCACAGTTTTAGAGATAAAATTTGTTACGTCCTGAGACGTATTTTATTTGTTCTATGTGCTTTGTGGTGGTTTGTTTGTTTGTTTTTTCTCCTTGTCTACTGCTACCATTCGCATGCAGGTGATTGGGTCCTCCTGTTGTTGATTTGCTGCCCATTTACCTCAGTTCCACTGATTGGCTGCCGCCAGGAGAAAGCCAGCATATAAAACCAGCACTGCCTTTCAACAAGGGGAGCGGGTTGCAGATTGTAACCTGTCACACGGACTGCTTTTCTCTGGCTCCAGATAACTGTCTGTTGTTATTAAGTGCTAACCATTGGTGCTACTGTGGGCTTAGTTGGAGACTTGTAAGTTTGTTTAGAATTTAAGTATTTTGTAAGGAAACTTGTAGGGAGGTGGGTGCCTTTTTCTTTAATTGCTTTTCTCCTGGTTATTTGGATAGTCAAGGAGATAGGGAAGTTCATTTTGTTGTTTATTTTCTTTTGGTTTATGTATAGGTAAGTTATGGTTAAAATTGAGTTAGAAATCTTTTTGTTTGTTGTGTTGGCCTTTGCCCCCTCCTGAAGCTTATGTTTCCTTTTATCTTTTTCTTATGATTAAATAAAAAAATTAAATATTTTCTTTTTGTTTGGAGGTGTGTTATTGGGGCTGGAGACAAGAGGTCCCTGTGCTTTCTCGCTCCAAAAATTTGTTACTGCTAGTATTGTGTAATTTTATTGAAGTATTATGTGAAAATGAATGTAATCAGTATATAAATTAATATGCTGAATTATGTTAACTCTGGATGTAGTGATGGGAAATGATGAACATATAATGGTCTTTTCATTAGACAGTTGACCTTTCATTAGACAGTACACCTGTGAACTTGAAATAATCTAATATTATTAGGAACACGTATAATGGTCTTTTCATTAGAGAGTGGACCTTTCATTAGACAGTAAACATGAACTTGAAATAATCTAATGTTATCAGGAGCAGGTGGATGGATTTGACTCACACCTCCTCATGTGACCACTACCAACCAATGAAATAAAAGCTTTTTTTTTTTAAATGACTGATCGGACCACATTCCACCATTAAAAAACAAGGCCAAAAGGGTTGGAAACAATTGTGGCAAATCAGGTATCTATAACCAATAAAAAATAACCGGAACAAAGAAAAAACAGAAAATGACCAAATTTGGAGAGAACAAAGGGTATATAATATGAGCTGACAAACAAAGACTTTGGAATGATTTGGAATGCTGTGACTGTCTTCCCGGCTTTGTTTCTTTGTTAAATAAAGTCTTATTTTGACATCTGGAACTCTGCTTCTCCACTTCACTGGCCGCACCCAAGAAAAATCCACAACAGATTGGTGTCACGAACAGGATTGGCTTGGGGTCCAACGTCCACGAGGGCCATCGTGGGTGGGGTATCTGGACGGCTATACAAACAGATCTCTAAAAGGGGCCCCGAAAAAACGAGATAGGCAATATTTTGCTTAAATTGGAAATAAGACTGTTTGTGTGGTTGACTAAGGTCACACCTGTGATGGTAATCTGAGACGACTTCCCAAAATAAGCAAGCCCAGGAATCAAGGAGCCGCTCAGAGAAAGTGGAGCGTGGCCTTGAGGGGTGCTTATGAGGGAGGGGTTGCTTTGATCAGAGTATTAAGTTTTTGTGTACACAGTGTCAAGGGACACAGGGCTTTTGTATATAAGAAGTGTATATAAGAAGTGCACAGTGTCATTCATGAAGGGGCACTAAAAAACCTATTCAGAGACTTCCCAAAGTGAGTAAGCCCAGGAATCAAAGAGCCGTCTAGAGAAAGTGGGACGTGGCTTTGAGGGGTGCTTATGAGGGAAGGGCGGCTGAATTAGGTGTCTGCAGACTAAATAGAGTTAGACTGTTAGTCTTTGTTTGTCCATTATCTGTTGTAAAAATTTTTGTATGTGCGTCAAAGCGTTGGAAACATTGAAGCATTGAATGTTTTGGCTGAATGATTAACTGTGTTGGCTTCTTTGC